CGTCACGTAGTGGAGCATCCAGCCCAAACAACCGGCTATTATCCACAACACCTGCAATATTATAATAACTGAGTCGACAACCCTAGAGAACGTAAGCACAGTAGATAATTTTTGCTACCTTATTGGTTATTTGTAAGAATTTTAGAAAAGAAAAGGAACTAAAATGCGATACCGTGTTCAATTGAGGCCGCAACGTTGTGAAGACTGTAGTGCAGTGCAGACCAAACACGCACAACCCGAGGAAAGTGCACACGATGACGTCATTCTTTAGCCTGGCATTCACCGTGGCTTGCAGTTTCCCCGGTAGCGGATCCTCCATGTCTTCGTCTGTCTTATCGGGTATGTCCTGCTTATTCGCAGTTGAATTATTTGTAGTTGTATCTCTACTTTTATCTTCAGTCTCAGTCGGAGGATCGAGTTTAAGTGAGTTTGTCGAATTCACGTCTCCTTTAGGATCCATCTTCAGTGAACTAACACTAGATGCCTGCGATCTCTTTTGCGACTTGGCTATATTCGTCTCCGAGCTAAAGTTGATCTTCGAAGCGGAACTTCCTATCGAGTTCTGTTTCGAGATATTACTTTCTGAATCGTTCTTTTTGTCTTCGCTTAATGGGTTGGGTTCAGTCTTTTCCAATTCAGGAGTACAATCTGGGTTCTGGATAACGTAGAGCTCCGGCGGGAGGAGGTGCTTCTTTATTAGATTCCATATCAGGGTATAATCACTAGCGCTGCGACTAAGGTGGTACGCGATGGGTACGAGTAGACCACAGAAAATTGAGAAGAGGATGTTGTGCTTTTGGTGCTGTGATTTCTTCCCCTCGATAAGGCCGCTGTACGCGAACCCGTACAGCACTCCCACGGCCGCCAGAGACCGCACCACGCAGTACAACGCCGCACTCAAACTACTGGTTGCATTGCCTCCAAATACGTGCATATCTATTTGTTCCAACAAGTACATTAGGAACGTGTTAACTTGCGGAAAAAGGCCCAAACTAAAAGCCAAAGGAAAAAATAATAAAAACTTTGAAATAATCTCCTGAATTACGTATAAAAAATCACGCTCATGGAATTCAAATCCGTAGACGGTTAACGGTTTTATATCGTCAATACTCCGTCTACTTCTAAAATTTTCATCTGCAGGTGTTATTTGCTCCAGTTGATTGTGCACGCCGCACAGTATCGCTGTACATATGCAAAAGTAGACAGGTCGAGAGAACACGACCATTTTGTTGAAGCCGTGCACAGGCGATGCGGAGTCAGGCTGCACACTCTTCAGCAACGAATACTGGCTGCCCGCCATTATGAAACAGAACCAGAATGCGTAGATGTCCTTGTAGAATCCGAGGTTCAACACCATCGAACCGAGCACGGCGACCGTTATCGCCAACATTATAGACACGAATGTCTCCCTAAATGTTAAATTTCTATCAAACAACGCCAACAATTTTAACCTATCCATAGTTATTTTAATTTCGAGGCACTTTGATAATTTAAATTTATAATAGCTCTTTGGTTTCGGTTGATTCGCTTTCTCGATCTCGTCCATGAGTTTGGAGAACTTATTTCTAATGTTTAGATCTACGGTTTCCTCGCCGATGGAGGGCATGAGGCTGGGCGCGTTGG